GACACATCGTCTATCGTTGCCGATTGTTGGGTGAATTTGAACTGATTGAAAGAGACTCTTTCCTGTGAACATTTGTCCTTGCTCAATCCTGAGTGTCACTTGCCTAGAACTTATTTAATTTCACATCTCAGCAAATACAGTATAATTTCTGCAGTAGTGTTGGCTTCGGATAGCATCGCTCACCTGCTTACTTATCATCTATATCTGTCATTGAATTACCTCTTGCAGTAATACGATCTACTCACAAATGTACATAAAAATGCAACATAAAATAAAATCGTTCCATTGTCTGCTTCTCATCGTTCTACGTGAACTCCAGGTTAGCCAATTCCACAGAGCTGGAGTGACAAATAATGAATGAAAGATGAGGAAATAAAAGATTAGTGAGTTCGTGGCCTTCCAGAAATAAAAGACATTCACCCTCGGAAAAAAAATCTATTCTCTTCTGAAATAGTGCTTTTCAACATTAATCAAGAAACCTATTCTATGTGGGGAAAAAGTAAAGAATGGGATGATTTTATATTTTTCAAGTGCGACAATACTGTGCCAACACATTTTTAAACTTGGGAAAGAGAAATAAAGCTGCTCATCTTTGCTCTCTCGTCAATCTTTGCTCTTGTCAAACAACTGTTAATCTTGGGCAAAAGGGAGAAGAAAAAAAGAAGACAAGGCAATTCCTTTTGAGAAAATGTTTTGTTTTCTTGAACCCACTGTTGGGTTAATCCTATTTTAAATGCCTTGCCCCCGGGGTGAACTAGAACTTGCCTTTGATGTTGCTGTGAAATTCGGAGCCAGATTTTCCTATGCTAGAACCTTCAGATTCCGAAGATGAATCGTGTCAGTGCCACAACCTTAAACCAAGAAGTTACTTACTATCCACTATTTTCTCTTAGATCAAGTGTTGATTAGCTTTTCTGCCTTTAATTCTGAATCAAAACAAGTCTTGGGAGGCTCATTTGAAAGTGAAGAGTTTAGCGATGTGTATGATAATCTAGCTGCCTCTCATTTTCTCCCTCTTGCTGTCAGAAGTCGAGTTTTCCTATCTGGATAACCTGGACCTGCTGAAGTCACCGCAGAAGAAAGCGATGTATTTACCATGCAGAGCAGGAGCTTCTGCCTCAAACTTGCTTCCCTGCGAGCTCCTGCTCACCTGTTGAATTTATGTCTGTGATGCCTCCACCCCCTGTTGCAGCAAGGAGTGGAGAGGGCGCCCCCTTCCACTGCCGATCATTTCGGCCAGGCAGCAAGCCCAGTGACAAAAACTAGTAGCATTCAACACCAGAGAAGTCTCCATTTAAAAGGGAGGCTGAAAATACCTGTGAAAATGTCCATGTTGTCAAGTGTAGGATACAGAGATAAGATTTCAGACTTAAAGCATCTGCCGACTCAAGAAAACAGTGAACGTTCCCTTACACTGGGCCAGCTGAGGCCGGTGAGAGACAGACACTGTCCCACAGGCACTGTGCAGGCTGGAGCAGCTCAACTCGTCAGACACGGAGACTTACATTTTAAAACATGATGTAGGACACCCTAAGCAATGGGTCTGGGTCACAACGGCAACCATTTCAGAAGCACTTTTCAATACAGACCCGGCATGCGGTCACATGCAGGAATTTGGCATCCAAGAATCACAGAGAATTTCTACAGGATCTGAGAGGAACCTTCTCAAATCCCTGGACTCACATTACTACATCACAGGCCCCTTGACTCAGCTGTATTATTCACTAATAAATGTGTTCTATCTTGCAAACTGTCTCATTTTTAACCCAAGCTTCTTCTCGGGTTCAATTCTTGCCCTCCGCTAGCTCTGGAGCTCAGGGCCGCTCGTTGGCCCAGCAGAACGCACGCTATGTTTAGCCGAAAGTTAACAAAGCGCTGCGTCCTGCTCCCCCACACCCACGTATGTGTAACAAAAGCAGAGCCTCAATTTCAAAAACTGTATGATGAAAAGGGTCATTTGGAATCATTAAAAATAATCACGAGGTTAATGAAAACTCTGGAACGGTTCAGCTAAGCATAAGCAGCTCTCTAACCTCAGGAGCGGGAATCCCAAGGAGTTGGTTTCTGTTATCTTGAGCAGCTAACACACAACACAGGGAAAAGCTTGCTGGTGTTTACATTTGTCTCCCAGCAAGAGTCGACAGGGCCTCTGAAGCAAGATGTCTGACTGAGAAGCGACGGGTGAAGGTCCAGCACCCCTCCGAATCCCAAGCAAACAGCTGCATGGACGGGCCTTTGCGAGAATGTGTCCCTTGGCCCGGAGGGTGACAACTCTTAAGAGCCCCTGCACTGTCCACTCCAATTCCAGCCAGATTCCAGCCAGACACGGTGGAGAAACAATTTCAAAAGGCAATGGCAGTGGAAAACACAGGTTTATTTTTACCAAATTCTGAACATCTCTAAAACTTCTTTTGGACAGAGACAGGCTGTACCACCCAGGAGACCAGAGCCTTTGCTCTCAGCAGGGATTGTGCAGCTGTTTGCCATTAAAACCACCAAATAAGTTAGTGCAATTCGTAAAAGGCATAAAGCGATCGGCCTCATCCATCTTCCCCCAGTTAAGAAAAGTACTTACAGGCTAAAAGCATATAAAACCAGGTACTTGTGCATCACCCCAGGGTTCCCTGAGAATACAAATGATTCATGCAAACACCCTGCATGAGCGGCTCGTTCAGGACAAAGTTTTTACAAGAAGGAAATGCAAGGAAAAAGAAATCAGTTTCACATGGGCCAGAACATTACCTCGCCGGCTGCCTTCTCATTTGCAGGACACTATCTGCTTCCTGGAGGCGAAACGCAGGCACAGACAAGAAAAGTTAGTTAAGGGCCGCACGACTGAAGGTGGAGGTTGTGAAGTCTCCTAAAAGAGTGCAGGAGGCTCTTCATCCTCTCCCCTATAAGGAACCTGCACGCACCAGCCATTGACTCAGCGGGCCTGTGCAGGTGCTAAAATCCTTCCTCACAAAGTCCTTCTGTGTCTCCTTGGGAAAGACTCTGTCATGAACAACACGCTGCTGTTCCCAGTTTCCCAAGCTCAGCCCAGGCGTGACTAGGCCGGCCCGCGTGAGCGCACCGTGACATACCCCTGGTTTGCTTAAAAATAAGATGTAAAGAAAAGTCCTTTCGTACTCCTGGCCTTTCAGCCAGTGGGCACCTGAGGAGCAGACCTTGGTGCCAGGGCTGAGCGCCACTGGCCCCTTCTCCACTCAACCCCGCCTGAGTCCTGAGTCAGCCGCAGGGAGGGGAGCGGGCGCGCAGACCCCAAGTTTGCAGGGACACGCTGGTCTCTGGAAGAGCCCCCGGCTCAGGGCTGGAGGGTGCCCACCACCTGCCCGCGCCCCTTCCAGCCCGACAGGCTGCCCCCGGCTCGGCAGACGCGCCCCCCGACCTCCGCGCTCGGGAAATTAGTGCGAGAAGAGCCTGGTGGGTGCTGCCGTGCCGGCGAGGCCCCCACCCATCTCCAGGACAGTCGGGGCTCACGCCCGCTCTCGCCTCCCCGAGCGCTCGCTCTCAGCGCCCCCTGCCGGGGTCCCCGGGACGCCGCGGGCGCAGGAAAGTTCCATCCAAGTCGCGGCCGCCGCATCCAGGTACCCGGCGCGCCGGGCGCCGAGGGGCCGCGCTGCCCGCCAGGCCCGGGCGCAGCGGGGTCCCCGGGCGCGCCGTGGGAGAGGGGGGCCGCGGGGGCGCGGTCCGGGAGAGGCCGCTCGGCCGCGGTCCCCGCGGGTCTCGGGCGCATCCTCCGGGACCCACGTCTGCCTCCGGCCACGAAAGCCAGAGCCGGGGCTGGTGCGCGCGGCTCCGCCGGTCCCCCGCGGCTGCACCCCCGGCCGGGCGCTCAGGGCGGCCACGGGCTCGGCGTCCCCGCGTGCCCACGGCGCCGGCATACCTGAGCCCGCGCGCCGCCAGGCGCCAGGAGCCCGGGCAGGAGCCCGCCGCGGCCCGCGAGCCCCGGCCCCGGCCCCGGCCCCGGCGAGGTGCGCGCACGGGTGTCCGCGGCGCGGCTCCGGGGCGGCGGGAAAGGGCCCCGCGCGCGGCTCCCGGCTCGCCCTCGGGCTCCCCGGCCCTCGCCTCCGCGCGCCGACCCCGGCCCCGGCAGGGGCGCAAACTTCCCCAGGGCGGGCGCCCCGCGCCGAGGTCGTGCAGCCCCCGCGCGCGCACCGCCCCGACACCCGCAGCCCCGGGTCGCGGCAGCGCGGGCTCCGCCGGGCCCCCGGGTCGCTCACCAGCTGGACGCGCGCTCCTCTCCAGGCATCCGGCGCCGGGGCGCGGCGGCCCCGGGGCTCCTCTTCGCGGCCGGCCCGGAGGTCGGGGCAGCGGCCGCGGCGCGCGCCTCTTCCCGGGGCTCCCCCGCTCGCCCGCTCGGGCCGGGGTCCCGCGGCGCCTCCGCGCACGGCCCCGAGCGCGCGCCCGGCCGGGTGGGCAGCGTCGCGGCCGGCGGGGCGACCCGCGGGAGGCAAAGTTGGGCGCCCGAGCCGCTCCGCGGGGAGCCGCGGGGAGAGGGGCGCCCCGGTCGCGCGGCCGGCTCGGTCGCCCCGCGGAGGGGACCCGGGGAGGGTGCGGAGCCCACCCGCGGCGGCAGCAGCGGCGGGAGCGGACGCAGCAGGAGCAGCCGCCGCCGGCGCCGCCTCCCCGCGAGTAGCGCGGCGCGGGGTGCGCGGGGGGAGCCCGGCCGCCGCGCCCCGCCCCCGGCCCGCCCCCGGCCCGCCCCGGCCGCCGCGCCTCCGCTCCCCGCCCCGCGGGGTGAAACCCGAGCGCCCCACCCGGCGCTTGACCCCGGGCCCTCCCCCGACACCGCCCCTTCCCCAGCCGGCGCCCCCCGCGGCGCCCCCGGAGCCCCGCTGCGGCCTCCCCGGGGCGGGGGTCCGAGTGCGGACTTTCGGGGACTCCCGTCCCCTGGGCGGGGGAGACCCGCTGGGGCGCCCCGCCCCGCCCCGCCGCTCGGACGTGGCCACTCGGTGGGGTGCGGGGGGGGGCCGGGGGCGGGTTATAAAGCGCCGGAGGCGCCGGCCGGGCCGCGACGTGGCGCACCCCGCTGCCCCTCCGCTCCAGGTACGTGTGCGGCCGGCCCTGCGGGGGGCCGGGAGACGCGGGGCCTCTGCGCCCCGAGGGTGCGATTTCGTCCTCTCGGGGTGACACCCGCCTGCGCGCTCTGCGCCTGGAGAGCGGGGCGCGCCGCGGCCCCGGCGGCGAGTTGGGGCGCGCCTCGGGCGGGTCGGGTGGATTCGGCGGAGTAGAAGCCGGGAAGGCGCGGGTCCGACGGGGCGGGGAGGCAGGTCCGGGGCCCCCACGGAGCCGCGCGGAGCGTGGGGACACCCCACCCGCCGGACAAAGTTGGCGCGTCTGTCTCCGGGGCAGACGCCCCAGGCTCGCGGGCTCCGGCGGCCTCTGGGGAGGCGCTGCTGGGAGACGCCGCTCAGCGCGCGGAGAAGGGCGCTCTCGGGGCGCCGGACCCCGACACCTCCGTGGGAGGCGCTGCTTCTGCTGAGGCCCTGGGAGCGGCCGCGCCAGGTTTCAGGCTGAGCAGAAGGCGAGCCCCGAACCCGCGGGCGTGCACCTGGGGGGGTCGGGACCTGGAGGCCCGCGGGAGAGCCGGCCCGCGCCCCGCCTGCCCACCTGCGCGCCCTGCCCACCTGTGCGCTCTGCCCACCTGCGGGCCTGCCCGCCCACCACCCCGGGCGGTGTCCACGCTCCACAGCGGTCGCGCAGGGCCGAGAGGCCTCCTGCCCAGAGATAGTTTTTAATAACAGAATTAAGTGAAAGCAGTTCTGGAGGTTTCCATGCAGCCCAGGCCAACCCTGCCCTCTAGTCTCTGGCTTGGCGGTGGAGCTGCGGGTACTCAAGGCCTGGCTGGATTGCCTTTGAGACACCCAGGAGGGAACGTGAGCAAGGACCCAGCTTCCTTAAGGGACATTCGTGCCCTGTTGGCGCGAGGGCACACAGCCTGGTGCCTGGCAGCAGCCTGGCGGCTCCGGGCCTTGATGAAAAGCTCAGGGCTCTGCTTCCTGCCTGGCCCGAGGGCCTCTTTGCTTCCCTCACATTCCGATTCTCTTGCTTACGTGGCACAGAGGCCCGGAGCACTCCCTGGGAGGAGGCTGGCCAAAGTCTAGCCTAAGGCTCTGCCCCCTAGGGTGGCAGGAGGAGCCTGGGCAGTGCTGCCTGACACTGGAACCTTGCAGCCTTGGGTGGGCGGCTGCCTCCCTGTCCAGGGGGCGGGGAGACAGGAACTCCAGCCCCAATCCTGTCCTTGTCCCTGGATGGTGCAGTTCAAGGCTTGTGCACAATTTTTAGAAAAATTATCGTGGCCTAGATAGGGCTGACCAGTGGAGAGAAAATCACTTTCTACACCGTAGCCCTGAGTGGTTGATAACATAACTCGATAAAGCATTTAACTTTATGTGGGGGGTCAGTTTACAAGCTTCAGGGAAGCTGTCAGTCATGAATATTGACTGATAATTAAAAAGTTTGGGGGCGATCCTTCCTTTAAAGTGAAATGCACCAAATTGAAGTTGTGATTTCACACCACTCGGGGAAAGTTCCTTCACTCTGAGCCTTCGTCGCTTCATCTGGTGCTTAAACAGACCTCCCCTGGGGGCCGTCGCCAGGAAGGAGGAAGGGGTGATGGAAATAGCATCCTCACCCAGGGCCCCCAAAGTCGGTGGCTCCCTACATATGCAACTGTCGTCCAGGATCCACAGGTGTTTCTTCTTTCCAGATGAAATCTCTGGAGTGTTTCCTTTGACATGTCGTATTGCTCACTGAGAACTTTCCGTGTGGCATCTGGTCACGCTGTGAAATTAGAGGTGAGCATCTCGAAACAAACCCTTTTCCCTGCCCCTTTAAATGTGGATGTCCCAGGATGAGGACAGCTGTCCACCCCTTGGTGAAGATGATGACTTCTGGGGCGCTGATTCATGTGACTTGAAAAACGCCATCCATTTCCTGATTCACCTCGTTTCTGTGTGGAGACAAGAAGGTTCTCTTATGTCTCAGAAATAATTAACCTGTTTGGTCTTGTCTTTCCTTTGCTCCCTGGTGCCTGCATCTCGGCCACGCAGCCACTCGCCGCAGAGGAGAGGACCAGGGCGCAGGGGGATGTCAGCGCGGAGAGGGAGACGCTGCAGCTGTCACGGAGAAGCCTTTATGTCCTTGACCATTGAGATGCAAGAGGTTGTTTTCATGTGATGGAGAAATCTCCAGAAACCGTGGCCTCTGGGCGAGGATGCCTGAACTGGAATTTCCTGCCTCTGAGCCAGAGGACCCATTTCCATCATCATCCTCAAGTCTCCCCCTTTTCTGCCCTTTTCCTTCTTTTAGATCCAGGGCAGGTAAGAACTGAAAAAACAAAACAAAACACCCTGCTGGATCTTTCAACCCCATCAGTTTTTTTCTTAATATAACCAGACGTCGGTGGAGCACGCACAGGTTTATGCCTAAGAGCGCTGCCGACATTCAGTTCCTGCATTTTAAATATTGGAAAGCCAGTTACTATGAGACAGGGGTGCTGGGGTGTTTCATGAATTTTCACAGATGATGACTCCCCAGTGCAGGGTTCAGGGAGTGTCCAGCGTCCTTGAGCTTCCCCGGAAAGTCTCTAGGGTTCTTTGGCCCCGAGAACCACTCACACCCCATGCGGCATCACAGCCTAACTCCCCAGCCAAAGGAACAACTGGTTTTATTCAAAACACACAGCCCAGAAACTCAGGATAGAAAGAGGCCAGGTACGTACACCCAAGAAGGAGCAGAAACAGGCAACGTGCCAGTTCCTGGACCTTTAGCGAAGGACCAGCTTGGCCCCGGGGCTGTCACTGTCCACCCTCTGCCCGTCATGCACTGGGCGTGTCCCCTTGTCCGCACCCCAGTTTCCACCCCAGTCCAGCCAGGGCTCGCCGTGAGTTCCCCTTGTCTGCTTTGCAGCTGTTTGTTCCGGGGAAGCTGACATGGGTGCCCTGGCCTTCACCCACCTGCTCCCCTTAACTCTGAGCTCCCTTGAACTTTCCACAAATGAAAACCACCTCCTCATCTCACCCCAAAACCCAATCAAGGGAGCAGCCTAGGGCCCGTCCGCCCAGCCTGAGCCGTGGACCCGCAGGCATGAGGGCCAGGGCGGTTATTCTGGAAGAAGGGCTCAGGGCTCATGTCCCTTAGGAAAATGGAGCGATTCCCCCAGGGTCTGTTAAGAAGATACCTTGTCTTTTGCTTCAGCTGTGTGTCCAAAAGACCAAGGTGTTCTAGAAACCTGCAAAGGCCTTATCTTTGTGGGCAAATTTCTGCATAGATTTTTCTCGCAACCCATCTTCCTTGTAATAAAATCAGCCTGCTTGAAACACCCCAAGTCATCTTTTTATTTGTATGGGGAGAGAAGTGGCTAAGTTTGAAAGATTTTGGAACACCCAGAGGAAATGCAGATGGTCCGCGCGCAGAGAAAGCAGGAGACCCGCGGCTGCCTGAGTGATTTCCTAACGCGGAGCTTTGTCCAGACCTTGAGTGTGTGCGAGCTCCGAAGAGCTGTGCTTTTAAAAAGGATGTGTGTGATGCTTCATATTCAGTGTCCTCTCTAGTCCTCTGTCTTTGGGAACTTTGGGAGAAACAAGTACCTTGGAAATAAATTTTTTAAAAAATAATGTTCATCCTGGGCCTCCCCGGTGGCGCAGCGGTTGAGCGCTGGGTTGCGAAGCTGCCGAAGCCTCTGCGACGCCGGTTCGATCCCCGGCTGCTCCCCGCCCACCGGTGAGGGTCCCACATGGCGCGCAGACCTCTCCTGCCACCCGCTGCTCCCCTCAGCAGTGGACTTCGGTCCTTCTGCCTGCTCTGCTCCCTGCTCTGGCTCTGGTGAATTCTCTCACCCTCCCGCGCTTCTGACTGTACCCAGTGCTTGTATAAACAACAAACAAACAAATAAATAAAACATGCCTCTATTAAAAAATAAAATTAAAAAAAATAAAATAATGTTCATCCTACATAGATATAGAAATGCCGATGACCGCATCCGTGTACCCCATCATTCACCACGGAGAAGTCATAATCTCCTCGATTTCCATGAGGAGACTCTCTCCTAAGTGAGATGAGCTCAGGCACTCCTGAAGCAAATAGGAGGATGCGCTGGGGTGGGGGCTGCGGCCCACAGGTCACATCTGCATGAAGATCCTCCTTCCCAGCCCCACTCTTGCTGCTTTAAATCAGAATTTCGACTTGTCACCCAGAATGGGAACACTTCCTCTCACTGGCTTCTCCACCCTCGGCCAAGGGGTCACGCACACTACACTACACCACGCTAGTGGCCTCCCCAGACAGCACTCCATCATCTTCAGCAGCAGCCCTCCTGGAGTTTTTTGGATTGCAGTCACCTGATTTGAAACAAACAAGCCTGCCTGGCAGTGAGGCGGGACTGCAGAACCGAACTGGGGTGAGCTCGTGGGAGTCCAAGAAAGGCTTCATAAAAGGGGGTGACTGCTCGCTGGATGCGGTCACCTGCCTTGCCTTCCACCTCCAGGTGCCTGCCTAGAACTCGATTGTGATCTTTGGAATTCCAGCCACCATCGTGGGCCACACAGTGAGCCTGAGGATGTGAACCATGAGAGCAGAGATGAAGAAAAGGCGCCTGGTCCCTGTGACACTGTGGCGGCCCCCGCTGGGCCCTGGCTTGCTGTAACGCAGCCAACCCATACCGGGTAGGTTCTTTACCGGTTCCAGCAGCCGTGTTGTCTTCGTGCTCTCCGCTGCTCGTCGTCACCGTACCCCGCCACACTCCTCCATCCTCTGCACCGCACCACCACACTGCACTCCGCTGCGCCACCCTTATAGGCCCGGCCTTGGCCCAGGTGACTCCCATCTACTTAGGCCCACACCCTACTCCAGGTGCCCGCCATCAGGCATGATTCAGGACTGCACCATTATGCCTAATGGCGGGAGGGCGGAAAAGCCTGATAGTTTTTACCTTACCCTGCAATCCACCCCCTCAGGGTTTTCTGCCAGACAGTCTATACAAGTTATACAAGTCATGTATGTTTCTCTTGGCGGTATGAACACTGCAGCCATGGCCCACAGAAGTAAATAGAATATATCACAATGTAACTGATACATAAAATACAACAGAACAAGGTAAGTCCAGGCAGGGCACCAGCCTAGTGGCATAAAACAATATTATTGGCACCGGCAGATGAGCCACTTCCGCTGCCGAGGGCACTGCTCATACAAGGGAGGGAGCCATCCGGCTGTGGTCTCGGCCACAAGCCACACGCCGCATCCACCCCTAGGATGCGCTCACTCTTGGACTGGTGATTCTGTACTCTTTGGGGGTAATCATCCAATCCTCAGGGTTTCTGCCCGCGGTGGCTCCAACTCTCGGCTTTCGTAGCCACCCATGCAACACGCAGACTGCTGCACTCAGGCCAACCCATTGCCCACGCACATGGGTCGGGGATCCGTGGAAACAAGCTCCACATGCAGCCTCTCTTGGGTCCCCTCTTCAGCTGTGGGCTCCATCACCAACCACATTTCCCACCTGTCTCCCAAGGACGGGTTCCTCAGCTCCTCTCCCTCACTCAACAATGAACAGGGCATCACCCACAGGTGATTTTGAGAGACTCACTGGCCTTCTTCCATGTATTCAAGCCGCTTAACAGCCACTCAGGGCTTCCCGACTTCAGCACCAGCTTTTGGTTTTCTAAGTTGGCTTTTTCTCTGCCTGGCTCCTGGGCAGTATACAGGCTGCTTTTGGCCATCAAGTCCCACTGGCCACCCCCAGATTCCCATCTCCTGGGGTTTACAAATGATACCATCCACCCCCAGGGTCCCAAAATGTAACAACCTGCCAAGGTTCCTCCGCCTTCTGGCGGGATTGTCAGTCCAAGTGCATTAGTCCCAAGTCCATAGGCTTCTTCCTTGTGTCAGCACTGGCGAGATCCGAATCGTGGTCCTTTCTTCCCTGACAATTCTGCTGCCTCAGGGGTCGTGGGCTGGTCCTCTCGGGCATCCCCTCCAGGCCCACACCCCACTCCAGGTGCCGCCATCAGGCATGCATTCAGGACCACAGGGATCCATCATCAATCCTAATGGTGGGGAAGGCAGAAAAGCCTGATACTTTTTACCTTACCCCTACACTTGCCTACTCCCCCAGACTCCATAACTTGGGGAACATATGCCCTTCGGTTTATCCAGCATTATCTCTGTGCTGGGTTTGCAGGAGAATGCAAGTCTCATCCCCTAAAGCAGGTAAAGGCTCTTCCGGATGCGGCATCCTTGCAACGTGATGTGTCACTGTGACCCCCATGTAGCCTCTCCAACTCCTCCCCCCTGCTTGGCCTTCCCACACAAGTTTGCTCACAGCAGGTGCTGGCCTCACGTTAAGAAGGAACCAGGCAGCAAGAGACCATCCCTGCCTTTTGGGGATTGCCATATACTGAGGAAAGTGGGTATCAGTGTCTGCTCCCACAAATCTGCAATCAGTAATCCTGATGTAGGAAAGACAAGTTCAAGGCTGTCTGGCAGAGGGGGAGTCAGGACAAGCTTTACTGGGAAGGTGGTGAAGGATGAGCGTGACTGACAAGCAGAGGTGGAGATTTTCCAGGCAGAGGAGGAGATGGTCTGGGCAGTGTTGAAATGGTCAGGACAGTAGTAGTAACTGCAAGATTAACAACAGATCCAGTCTTCTAAATCAGTAGAGAGGAAAAAAAGATGAAATAAAGATGACTTGATCAACCCAACAGAAGGCTGGAAATGGAAATAAAACAGAAATGGAAAGAAAATATAGAAAGGGAAGAATTAATAGAAATTAAATAAATATGTAAAATCTAATTATGCCTGAAGGCACAAAACACAATGGGTAAAAGCATATACCAAGAAAAAATCAAAATGAAACTAGTTTACCAATACTTACATGGAAAAGTGGATTTTAAGACAAATATTTTTTAGAAAAAATACTGTCTAAAAATAATTCAGTAATTTAGGACATACAAATTAGTATATAATTAGCAAAATAGCTGCATAATAGATTTCTGAATAAATTTAATGTTTTATTAATTATTAAATTGATTGATATTAAATGAAGGTAACCCATCAACAGACATTAAGTTCTGTTAGAGTTGTTTTAAAAAATCTTGGGAAGATTAAATGCTACTTTTGAATTATTATTAAATAATTATTTGTTATATTTTTTAAAGATTTATTTATACAAGAGCTGGGGTACAGCCCAGATGCACGGGAGGGTGAGAGGATTCACCAGAGACAGAATGGGGAACAGAACAGGCAGACTGACTGAAATACACTGCTGAGGGGAGCCACGGGGAGACAGGAGAGGTCTGCGTACCATGTGGGTTGCTCCAAGGCCGGCGGGGATCGAACCGGCACTGCAGAGGCTGCAGACAGCTTCACAGCACTGCACTCAACCGCATGCGCCACCAGAGAGGCCCATATTTGTTGTTTATTAATTAATGTATTAAAAGAAAGGCAAAATAGTTCCAAAACATAAAAAGTATAAATCTATGGAATGATAAGGAAAATTGACAAATCCACCATCATTGATGGAGCACATTTCTCTCCCTAATAATAGATCCACAGGAAAAAAATAAAATGAATTTAAATAGTCTAAGAAGAGCAGTGAGCAAAGTAACACTAAGGGACATAGTAAACATTCATGCAAGATTTACAAAAAATAAGCAGTTCTAGAACCACTCAGCAAGGCTCAACAAACTCAGAATAATCTATGCTGTGCAACTTGATTACAAACTAATTTTTTTGAAAACTATTTTTTAAACTTCATATTTGTACATTATAAACCACATTTCTAATTCATGTTACCAAAAAAATGGAAATTAAAAAAATACCTGCCATATGAAAATACAACATATAAAACTTATGTGACATAACTAAAGTATTTACAGAGAAAACTAGACTTCAAGAGAACAAAGCAAAGTGAAATAAGGTAGTTAATATCACACATTAATGATAGAGGCTATAAAAACACAATAGAATCAGTAAGACCAAAGCTGTTTAAAAAACTAATAAAAGACAAACTTATGGCAAGATCTATAATTTACTAGAGAAATTTAGCTTTATAAAACCTAGAAAAAATGAAGATTTAAATATGCTAGTGATCATTAAAGAAACAGAATCAGTTAATACTCACTAACTGAGACAAACAGGCCTGCATGGCTTTCTAAGGACGTTCTACCAAATATTGGAGGTGCAGTTAATCCCTCTTTCAATGAATTTTATTCCAGTGAATAGAAAAATTCCCCTCAAATTCAAGAATGTTTTATCATTAAGAAATAGGTGAATATGAATCACCTCATCAACAGAATAAAGAAGAAAAATCATATCGTTTCAACAGCTACATAATATATTTTGATAAAATTCAACGTGTATTTGTCATTGAAGAAAAAAACTCTTAACTACTAAACTAGTAATAGAAAGAAATTTGTCTAATTAGATTGACTACAAAAAAAAAAAAAAGATCGATGAACACTTGATACTTAATTGTAAAGAACTGAGGACATTCCCTTGAAGAAGATGGAGACAAGCTTGCACATATCAACTCTCCCACTCAGCACTGAAACAATGGTCTGAAAAGAACAAACAAACTTAGCAGAGGAGATAACTGCCTCCAGTAAAACCTCTTAAGGA